TGGCCTTTGAGTACAAAGGGATTGTAGAGCAAAAAGCATCTGTGTAGCCACCACGGTCTTCAGCAGCCTCTGCACCGGGGAGGGCACTGAGAGGAGGCCACTGCTGCTCTTGTCAGAGCGCTGCTCTGCAGGGATGTCCCTTGCCCTGCTGAGTCCCACATCTGCCCATCTTTTTGCCTGGTTTCAGGTCAGGTGAATGCCATCTGCTCCAAATCCAACTGCTCCTTCATAGATGCACAGACATGAATCCAAAACCTTGAGTATCCCCTGAGTAGCCAGGCATTCAACCGTTCAGTTCGTGTTCTCCTTCCCGAAGCCTTCTCCACTCGATTTCCATCCTGCACCACAAAGGCTCTTTTCAAGCCCTGTGTGCTGCTGCTCTCTGGCTCACGGCTGCTCTCCTGCGCCCGATCCACAGCCCCAAAGGCAGGAGCAGCAGTTCAGCAGCAGCCCAGAAGGGGCTGCCCCAAGGCAGCTGTGAGCTGAGCCCCCCAGCCAGGGTCAATTGGCTCCTGGGTGCCCTGCTCCAGGCCCTCCACATGCTGCTGCCACACAACCACATCCAACCTTTATATATGATTTTTTTGCCTAATATTGGAAAACTATAAAACACATTACACAAATATTTACACGTATACATTTTATATGTATATATGAAAACTTGACATTTATAATGAAACTGGTTATAGAATGATACAGGTAATTTATATACAATTCATATGTACACTATCATCAGGCATCTCAGCTGCCATCAGACAGCCCTGTGCCTCAGCATCTCTTTCAAGGCCTGCAGAACAGGAGCTGATTGAATCCATGTTGCAGCCATCAGACAGCCCTGTGAAGGCTGCTGCTCTCTGCCTCATGGCTGCTCTTCTGCGCCTGGACCACAGACCCGAAGGCAGGAGCAGCAGTTCAGCAACAGCCCAGAAGGGGCTGCCCCAAGCCGATCTCCACAGGAAGCCTCTTGTTGCCTACAACCAAGTGCTCAAGGTCTGTCTTCTCCAGGCAGTGCTGCAGGTGCTGCAAGATATGCAGCAGGAAATCCCTCCTGAGCCCGCGTGGCCGGGGTGTTCAGGAGGAGCATCACACCCACCTTTAAGGTTGAGGTGGAAAAGCCTTCGCCCACCAGGATGTGGGTCAGGAGCTCCTGCATTGGCTGCTGGGCCTGCCCTGCCACGTGCCTGAAGAACTCAGACTCTGCCTGTTGCCTCCGCTTGAGGCGGGACAACCTGGTTTGGGAACGGCAACAATCCCCCTGCAAGCCGCCGTGCTCGGGGCTTTAGCAGCTGACTTAATGTAAAGTCTGTCTGCCATATCTCTGCGGCTTTGAGGCCTCTGGGGTTGATGCCGCTGGACCACAGTGGCAATTTTTGGCAGTGAGGACACGAGGCGACGACGTGCTTTGCAACTGCGGCCGAAATCCCGCATTTTTTTGCGGGTGCTTTAGCGCTGATATGAAGGGTCTCATGTAGTTGACGGGCATCGCGCAGGGTGCACAGCCCATCTGCCTTGTCATTGCTGATCTGAAAGAACCCCTTGATTGGATTGTGGATGTTGACATGGATGATAGATATGGTGCCTTTTTGCGAACAAAGTGCCTCTTCTAGCATCATCACCACTGCGGACACTGACACGCCGTGTCCAGACATGGCTAGACAGACTTTGGTCTCAAACATAGAGTCGGTTAGGATGTTGAGGTGCTTTTCTGGGAACAGTCCACATGCTAGTACCACGGCGGCTGCTTCGAGTTTCTGGACAGAAAGCGTAGGATCTGTTGTTCTGATGCAGTGCCACTGCTCTCCTGACTGCCATACCACCGCTGCGGTGCAGGTTAACGAAGATGTGTCCGTGAAGACCGTGGGTCCTGCTCGCAGCCGGTCAATTCTTTTTGGTGGGAGGTCAATGTCGACCATCGCAAGCTACTGAGTCCAAGGGGGTTTTGCTGCATAGTGAATCTCTCCACCAATCCAGCAAGGGCTATGGCTAGGTGCTCCGATATTGTCGATGACTGTGCGGAAAGCTGCTTGCAGAAGGGCAGATATATCCTGGTTGGTTCAATGCCCAAATGCCTCAGGGCGAGTTCCCTGCCTTTCATAATAAGGCAAAGCATTATCGCTACCAGTTGGGTGCTTTTTCGGGCCCGAGACAGCCCTCCAACTCTGCCTACCATGGGGGCTTCTTCTAATTTCCATTGTGAAGGCCAGTGTATGTTTGGAATAACGGTGACATCTGATCCCAGTCAACCCAAAAGGGAAGGCAGATAGCAGGTCCATCAGGGTTGTTATAGAGACGGCAAACGGCCCAAACTATCAGTGAGTGTCTGCCCACCTTCACAGCAAAAGCCACACATGGGTCTCACTCCCACGCCTTCATGGCCAGGGCCAGCCAGGGGCCTCGCCCCCAGGGAGCCGTTCTTGTTATTCCTGGGGTGTGGATGGGTTTGGCTGGGCCGTTGGCTGAGCTGTGAAGCTGGTCATGGCAGGGGGCAGTGGGTGCGGGAGCTCCGCACCCCATTGACAATTGGCACAACTGCGCCCCCTCCCCCTCCCGTTTCCCTGATGTTTGGATCTGCATTCTCTAGCAAAATGCCCCTTTTCTCCACATGCCCAGCATGGCCCCCTAGGATTCGTCTGGCGTGGGGGAACGGCTGTTGCTGGGTACCCCAAATGAGGGCAGTTCACTGCGATGTGACCTGCCTGGCCACACTTAAGGCATGCCATCATGCTAGTTATTGTCCTGCAGACAGCTGCCTGGCTAGATGCTCTTCTTTCACGACATGCCTAAACATGTCTGCAATGTTAGACCCCGGCGGTAATGACTGTAAGATGTCCTTGGTAGCTGAATTGCACTGTTGGCGCAAACACTCCGCTAACACAGGGCCCTTTGCTTCCGAGGGTAGGGCTGAGGAGTCAAGTGCTGCCTGGAGGCAGTCCACAAATTGTGTGAAACTTTCGCTTTCGCTCTGCTTTATGGTAGACCATGGCGATGGTCGGGCAATAACCTTAGATGCAGAGCGAATAGCCTCTCGAGCAGCACGGGTTGTTGTCATAACCTCATGGGTCCGAAGGCCCTCAGCCTGTGCCTGAGGGGTGATCATGGTGGGGTCTGTGCCCATTCAGTGCTGTATGCTGGAACCGTGTCGCGGGTGGTCTCCCCCAGTCACTAAGGCCAGTTGCTTTGCACTGTGGTCCTCCTATTCTTGTTTAAAAACAATCATCCCTGCCCCATCAAAAATTAATCTGCATGTTTGTTTGATATCAAATGAGAGCATGTCATCCCCTCCAAAAACGCTATCAATAAGAGTGGAGACCATTGCTGAATTAATCCCCCTGTCCGCAATTGCATTAACAGTTGCTTGTACATCCTTGGGGTTTACTGGCGTATAGGTCCTCTGGTTTCTGCCTGGCCCCAGCACTCGGACTGGAAACGCCAGCGTGGCTGTTGGGGCCCACTTGCAGCATGCTATTTCTATTTTCCTCCAGTCGGTAAGAGGAGCTCGTTCTTTTCCTAACTTCCCCTTGACCCAAGCAGGAGCATTGTGATGGCCAATCTTGTATGCTCCCACTCCCTCTTTATTGGAATCGGAATCGGGTCAGCTAGAGAACACTACTCCCAGCACCAGGTGCCGGAAAAGCCTTGGTGGTTCAACCATTCCAAAGCCTGTCCGCAGGCCGATCTCCACAGGAAGCCTCTTGTGCTCAAGGTCTGTCTTCTCCAAGCAGAGCTGCATGTGCTCCAAGATACCCAGCAGGAAATCCCTCCTGAGCCACCGTGGCAGGGGTGTTCAGGAGGAGTGTCACAGACATCTTTTGTGAAAAATCCTTTCTTTGGAATTTTTCCTTCTTCCGGGAAGCTATGGCCCCAGAGAAAGAATGTAAACACTGGTTATCTGCTGCTGTGGAATGCAACAGGTGCACCTGTCATTGGCCCATGTTCCATGTTTACAATTAAGGGCCAATCAAAGACAAGCTCTCTCTGGGACAGAATCAGAGAGAGCTCCCTTGTTGATTCATTCCTTTTTCTATTCTTAGCATATCAGCTTCTGAACTTCTCTCTCCATTCCTTTTAGTATAGTCTTCATGTAACATATATCATAAAATAATAAATCCAGCCTTCTGACCATGAGATCAACATTATCGCCTCTCTCTTCACCCTGGAAAACCCTTGCAAGCCCGGTAACAGAGGAGCATCACAACCATGTTCAAGGTCCAGGTGAAAAAGCCTACACCCATCTGGATGTGGGTTTGGAGCTCCCGCATTGGCAGTGCCCGCTGCGCTGCTGGGCCTGCCCTGACACGTGCCTGAAGAACTCAGTCTCTGCCACAGCATTGTCTCACGACAGGCTGAGCTTGGCACATGTCAGAAACTGAAATGATATATTTGATGATTTAAATTTCACTGGCAATGTGCATCTGCATTAGTTTTGCTGTTCTCCTTCATCTTCGTGAAGCTCTTCTTTACACAGAGCCTTCTGTGCTCAATTTCCAACCTGTGCCTCAAAGCCTCTTTTTGCGCTCTGCACTATGCTGCTCTCTGCCTCATGGCTGCTCTCCTGCGCCTGATCCACAGCCCCAAAGGCAGGAGCAGCAGTTCAGCAGCAGCCCAGAAGGGGCTGCCCCAAGGCAGCCGTGACCTGAGCCCCCCAGCCAGGGTCAATTGGCTCCTGGGTGCCCTGCTCCAGGTCCTCCACATGCTGCTGCCACACAACCACATCCAACCTTTATATATGATTTTTGCCTAATATTGCAAAACTATATAAATTTTAAAACTATATATACATACAAAACCTTACATATATACATTTTATATGTACATAGAAAAACTTTTTATGTGTAACGGAACTGGCTAAAGACAAGTATAGATACATGTAATTTATATACAATTTATATGTTCACTAGCATCAGGCATCTCAGCTGCCATCAGACAGCCCTGTGCCTCAGCATCTCTGTCAAGGGCTGCAGAACAGGAGCTGATTGAACCCCTCACAGCCCAGAGTAATCATGGATGGCCTCTGTGTGGGCATCTGGATCATGAACCAGGGGCTGGAGAAGCCTTGGTGGTTCAACCACTCCAAAGTCTGGCCCCAAGCCGATCTCTACACGAAGATTCTTGTTGCCTACAGCAGTGCTCAAGGTCTGTCTTCTCCAGGCAGTGCTGCAGGTGCTCCAAGATATCCCGCAGGAAATCCCTCCTGAGCCACCGTGGCAGGGGTGTTCAGGAGGAGCATCACACCCATCTTTAAGGTCGAGGTGGAAAAGCCTTCACGCATTAGGTTTCGGATTTGGAGCTCCTGCATTGGTTTCAGTTCCTCTACACGGTGCTGTTCATCCCCATGAAATCTGTTCATCTGTGACACGCTGCCTCTGATGTCACAGGGGCCAGAGGCATCACAGCCGGGCCAGCCCTGCCCTTGGTCCCCAGCCCAGCTCAGGGACTCCCTGTGGGCCCAGCAATGAAAGGCCCGGCACCCAGCAAGCGCAGCCCCTGTGGGAGGGAATGGGCCCCAGGGGCTCCCTGCACAAAGCAGGCAGAAGCACCTCTTGCTGACCTCTTGTCAAAGAGAAAAACATATAACCACTAATGTTGAATATGTTGCATAATATCAACTATGAAAGCACCAGAAGTGCTTTTCTCAAAGTGCTTTCTGAGTGAGATTCAGGGGGGCTTGCTTCAGTTTTTTCTTGCTTGATAATTCCTGTATCCAGCCCCTCCAAGACCTCTGTGAAACCTTCCCATTATCAGACAAAAGAGATAAGGAACTTTAGCCACAACACCTCCTGCCTCATTCAGATCAAGAAGCAGCCGAGGAGCAGTTCTGGCAGACAATTTGTGTGGCTTTGCACAAGAGTTGAACCCCTGTGTTATTAGGGAATGCTTGCTCCTGTTGTGCCAAAATGCTCGAGCAGGGGTGAGAATCTGGTGTCAAAATGCATTCATGTGCTCCATGTTGCACAGGACACCAGTGTGCAGGCATACAGAAAAATTCCCTCAGAAGGGATCGCCTGTGGCAAGGCCCCTCTGGTTTTCTCCTCCATGGAGCAGTTTGCATGCAGAGTGTGGGCCAATATTACCTCAGCATCGTCCTCCTCATCCTCATGGTCCCCTTGCAGAGCCAGAGCCCCTGTGTTCTGTCAGGGCCCCTGGGCAGGTGGGACATTCCCAGAGGAGAGGGCCCTGCTGTGTCCCCATTCCCCCTGTCCCTTATGTCCCTGTGTTCAGGAGGGCTCAGAGAGGATGGGGACTCCTGCCTGCCCCGTGTCCTGTCTGCCTGTTGGGCCTGTCCCAGGCTGTGATTCCTGTGCTGTGTCCCCCTGGCCCTGCTGGCCCTGCTGTCATGGCCCTCTGCAGCGTTCCACACCCTACACAGCCACGGTGGCTCCTGAGCTCTGCAGGGACCTAAGTGACAGTCTGAGTGGTGGCACTCCTGGTTCTCTTGCATTTGGCATCCCGCAGAGCAGAGGTGGATCACAGCACCAAAGGAACAGCTCCAGAGGGGAGGAAAGGAGCCTGTGCATGGCCCAGGGGTGCTGTGGTGCCCCTCTGTCAGGAATTCCCCACAGCTGACACCTGAGTCCCACATGGACACTCACAGACACAGAGATTTTTGAGGCGTTGCCTTTATTGGATCTCTGCACTGACTGCAGCTCCCAGAGGGAAGTCACTCTCCCAAGACAGGAGGGCAGTCAGTGTCATTTTCAAATCACAATAATGTATTTTAAACACTGAAATTAACAAATTGTGATTATAGTCAATCTTATCTAAGCAACTACTTTATACACTGTTATATTTAATATTAATAAAATAGTTGAGTATTTTAATCATGAAGATTATGTAAATTCACTGTTTAAGATAAAAATATAGCATACCTAAATTTTGTTTAATTCATATATTTCATACTAATTTTGATGAATGATAGTAATTATAAAATATAAAGAATAAGTGCCATTACTTAATTATTACTTAGTATTACAATATTATTCTAGACATATTCTACATTAAAGTTATTAAAACTTTGAAAAATATTTTCAAATAAAATATTTTAAATATTTACAAACTATTTAACAATTGGAATCAATCTCGAGGTTTTTGACTGGATCTTCTTTCAAATGGCTCCATCCTCGAGGAAATGAAAGCTCCTGCATGGAAATGGTGAAAGAGAGACACCAATACAGATACAGTTACTATAGATACAGTGAGGAGATAGAGGGAAGAGGGGCAGGGTGTGTCAGGAGCCCTGAGGCTCTGCCCCGGCGCAGGGCTGTGCGCTGGCTGCTCACAAAGATGTGCGGCTCGCCTTGGCCAGCCCAAAGAGCATCTCCAGCAGGAAGCTTTTCTTCACACAGGCCACGGCCTGGGCTCCTCCAAAAGCCTGCCCTGCCTACCTTCAGCATGCTGTTTGTGCCCCTATTCATTTGAATCAGCCGGGCCATTTGCTTTTCCATTGCTTTCATTGTCCGGCGCATTTGCTCCATTTCTTTGAATCTCATTTGAAGGAGCCGCCTTCTCTGCTCAGTTTTGATCTTCCTCCTTCTGGCCACTTCCTGAGCTCGCTGGGCCGCTGCTCTCTGCCTTGTGGCCACCCTTCTGCGCCTGAGCCACCACCCCACAAGCATGAGCAGTGGCTGAGCAATTTCCCAGATCTGGGGCAGGTAGCTCAAGGCAGCCAGGAGCCAGGGTCCCCAGCCAGGCTCAGGTGCCTCTGGGGGAGCTGGTGTCACCTCCTCCACAGGGTGCTGGTACCCCAAGGCAGCCAGGAGTCGGCGTCCCCAGCCAGGCTCAGGTGGCTTTGGAGGTGCCGGTGTCACCTCCTCTACAGGGTGCTGGTACCGCAAGGCAGCCAGGAGCCGGGATGCCCAGCCAGGCTCAGGTGGCTCTGGGAGGGTCGGTTTCTGTTTCTCTGCATGGTGCTGCTCATCACGAAATCTGTTCACCACAGACAGTGGGAATGGGAAGATGAGCAGCACAAGCACAGCCAGGACTAATCTGCCCGCCATGGTCTCTGCAGGAGGAGAGAGACAAGGGTTTCAGTGGGGCTACCAAGGGAGCTTGGGGGCTGCAGTGAGGCCCGGAGGCGCAGGGATGTGAGGGCAGGGAGCAGAGGGCCCCAGGCAGCTGGCAGGCAGCAGGGCCTGTCCCAGTGGGCCAGCAGCAGCCCCGTGCCCTGGCCAAGGTGCCGGCCCCAGGGGCTGGCCCTGGGTGCAGGGGGACAATGCAGGCCCGGCTGCGGCGCTTGTGCCCCGGCCCTGGCCCAGCCCAGCCCCGCCACGTGCGCACTCACCGCTTGCCCAGGCTGTGCTGGGCCAGCGTTCCCTGCGGGGGCCTTTTATAGTGGCCCCCATTGTGACACGCTGCCCCTGATGTCACAGGGGCCAGAGGCATCACAGCCAGGCCAGGTCTGCCCTTGGCCCACAGCCCAGCTCAGGGGCTCCCTGTGGGCCCAGCAATGAAATCCCCAGCACCCAGGAAGTGCAGCCCCTGTGGGAGGGAATGGGCCCCAGGGGCTCCCTGCACAAAGCAGGCAGAAGAACCCGGAAGCTCTTGTCAAGGAGAAGGAAACATCATCAATCCTGCTGATTATAATCAATACTATTATCTGTAAAAGCACCAGAGATTCTGTTGGGATGGCACTCCCGAGGACTCGCGGGCGCTGCTGCCCAACGGTTCCTCCATCCAGGCCGCGGCTCCCGGCCCCGGCGTCCCGGTGGGCTCGGCGGTGCCCGCTGCCCCCGGGGCGCTGCGGGCCGGGGCGCTAGCGCTGGCGCTGCACGCGGTGCTGGAGGGGCTGGCGCTGGGGCTGCGCGAGGGGGACGCGGCGGCGCTGCGGGTGCTGCGGGTGCTGCTGCTGCACAAGGGCGCCGTGGCCTTCGGCCTCTCGCTGGAGCTGCTGCGGAGCCGCCTGCGCCCACCCGCCGTGGCCTCGTGCCTGGTGCTGCTGGCCCTCATGTCCCCGCTGGGCGTCGGGGTGGGCACGGCGCTGGCGGCGGGCGCGGGGCCGAGGCAGCGCCTGTGCCGGGCCGTGCTGGAGGGCTTGGCGGCCGGCACCTTCCCCTTCGTCACCTTCCTGGAGATTCTGCCCCAGGAGCTGGGAGTGCCGCGGAATCGCATCCCCAAGGTGACCCTGATCCTCGCCGGCTTCGCGTTGGTCAGCGCCATCCTCTTCGTCAAAGGATGAGATCCGCCGGGATCTGCGCCCCGGCCTTGGAGGATCCTGTGGGATTCCTGTACCCCGAAGTGCCAAAGTGCCTCTCCCAGCTCTGTGCCTCAGTTTCCCTCTCTAACCTGTCCTCTTTCTCAAGCCCGACCTGGGATCCCCCATTCTCGCTCCCACCCTGCACTCCCCTTTTCCAAAGTGCCAAAGTGCCTCTCTCAGCGCTGTGCCTCAGTTTCCCCATCTGCACAAGGGATCGGTGCTGTGACCCCCCCCCCCGGACACCGGGAGGGGGTGAATGTCCCCCCACCCCCCCAATAACCACAAGTGCCCTTATGGACTCCCCCGGATTTGGGGGTGTTGGATGAAGCAAATAAAGAACTGAACCCCAAATTGCTGCCTGTGCCTGGGGAGGGTGGGATGGAATTTGGGGTGTGTCGCAGTGTCCCTCACCCTCCTGACTATATGGGCTGGGGGAGTCTGGTACCCCCTGATTTTGGGTCTGGGGGGGTTTCTGCTCAGTTCCCAGGCTTGGCTGAGTTCTGGCCCTCCCCAGCCCAGCCAGGCTCAGCTGAGCATCTGCAGCCCCTGGGTTGTCACGAATGAGATGGACGAATGACACACACACAGTTGTGCAAATACAGTAACAGAACCTCCTTTATTATTATAAATTGCTCTCCAGTTTTACACTCCTAAAAAATATTTGCATCAAAACAGCACATCACACTCAGACATTCAGACAGCAAAAGTTTGTTTCAGAAATCATCATTTCAGAAAGTATCATTTCAGAAAACAGGAGCTTATTGCATTTTGCTGGTCCAAAAAAAAAAAAAGTTAAATAGTGAAATGACAAACACGTACAACAAATTTTTAAGACACTTAATACTGCTCAGTAAGGCACACTTCAAATATCCCTTTTGTGTTAATACTTCAGTTTCCATGCTAATGGCCTTGATTCCTCCTTGCTATGGTAAACTCATATTTTATCAATTTGGTCTTCTCCTGAGTAGTTTGGCCTGTAAACCAGGCTGAGGTATCACCTCTCTCAGTGCTTCCATCCTCCGTCCAGAGAGGGAAGAAGGACAAAATTCTGGTGTGCAGAGGAGCACCATGAAGACAGCGAGGTCAGTGAAGAGGAATCAAGACCCAGATGGGAGGGGTGAGGAGATGCCTTTAATTTTAGGCTGAAATCCTGAGATAAAGAGAACCTTTACTCTTGAACAGCTCATCCTTCACACAGTACCCCATAAACTCTCATGGCCCATGAATACAGCTTGTGGAAAATGAAGGGAATGGAATGGAGAGAGCCACGAGAGAACTGTTTCCTTGTGGAGAAGTCTCCATAACATTAACAAGAGGGACTTCTCTCCCTAAGTGAAATGAAGGAGGACAATTCTAGAAGTAGTAAAGTGACTGAAATTATCAAAACAAACCATAAAAGCATGAACAAAAAAACAGGATACTAAATAAAAAATAAATTTTTCTTAATGCTGTTTCCAACTTGTGCGGCGGCTTTGCCATTCCCTAACGCTACCTCACAACAGGAAAATGGTAATTACATTCCAGTGTGCCATGTTATTTTCTTTAAGTGTTTTCACCTTGTCCCTTTTCCTTATCTGGGAGAGAATTAGTGTTTGTAGGTTTGTTTGTTCTAAAGCTTTATCAACAGTATTTGGAGTGTTGCATAGCATGAAAGGGTTGATCTGCTCCATCAGACAGATGACTCAGCCTGTGTGTCCATGTCCCCAGCAGCATCGTGTGAGTTGTCCTGGCTGCCAATGCTGGTCTAGAACCTTCTCCTCATCCGGGGCACTGGTAAAAAGAAAAAAACCAACCTGCTTTTGCTACTTTTGCCCTTCTGTGTGCAGCACACCTGGCTAAAAGCAGCGAAGCAAAGTTCAGTGCAGGCCAGGCTGAGAGAACCCATCCCTGAGGATTTTGGAGCTGCCCCCAGTGCTGGCCATGAGGCTGCTCCTGGTGCTGGTCCTGGCCACGAGGCTGCTCCTGGTGTTGGGACACTCCTGGTGGCTGCTGGTGGCACGGGGCCAGTCCTGGGGACGTGGCCTGACTGTGGCATTGGGACCCTCCTGGTGGAAGGCCCAGCTGAGGCAGAAATATCAGCCCAGCCCCACCGTGGGGCTGGCCAGTAACCTATCCCCAGGCCAGAGGAAAGAGAGCTTTGCTTGGGCTTTGTTGGTTTTTAAAAAATCTGCTTTTCTACAGAGACTGTTCAGCTCCTTTCAGTGGTTTCAAACACAAACCCAGCCAGGTGTTTGGCTCTTCACACCTCACCAGCAGATTGGCTCTGCCCCACAGGGAACCAACCCCACAGCCCCTGGGCTCTCCCCCAACTAAAAACCCAACAATGTGTTAAACCACAAGGGGAGATGAGACAGAGTCAGGAGAACCCCAAATCAGCCCCAAATCAGAACTCCCAATCTGCCCCAAATCAGAACTCCAAATCTGCCCCATTCTGGCTCTGTCCTCCCTCCCAGGTCCCACCTCCAGCTCCGCAGGGCTCCAGGGATGGTTTTCCACACTCACCTCCATATTTATAGAAGAGAACTAAGGCAAAAAGCACCAAAACCAAGCAATACAGCCACAGCTATGTTGCCCTTGGATGAGGTACCTGGAAACGAAAGAAGATCCAGGGGCAACATCCCAAAATAAACCTGGCTCTTCCTGGCATTGGGGCAGAGGGGATCTGGCCCACCCTGATCCCTCATTCCAGGGGATCTCACTCCAAGCCAGGGCAGAGGCGGCGCTGGATGAGGACGAGCGGCTTGGCAGAGGCAGCAGCAGGAGAATCCCTGAACACCCAAATTCCCAAACCCCAGAATCCTCAAATCCCAGAATCTCCCAGTTGTTGGGTGAGAAAGGAACTCTGGAGATCTCCCAGCTCTGCCAGGACGGGGTCACCCAGAGCAGGGGACACGGGGACATGGCCAGGTGGGTTTGGGGTGGCTCCAGAGGGGACACTCCATGGCAAGAGGTTCTCAAACAGGGATGGTTTCTTGGGGTTGGGTTTGTGGCCACCACTCCTTGTCCTGTCCCTGGCACCTCTGGGAAGAGCCTGAACATTCCCAGCAAAGGGATTTTGGGAGGAGCTGGAGGGTGCTGGGCTCAGGCACCCAAATCCCCCTTCCTGGCTGGGCATGGAAAAGCTGCCCCAGGCATTCAGGGACACTTGGGGACCATTGGGGACATTTGGGGACTCTCAGGAGCACGGCTGGACATGGACAAGGGTGGCAGCTTACCTGTGCTGGGAGGGTCTGTGGTGATTGCTGGTGAGGAGAGAGAAAGGGACACAGGTCAGAGCTTCCCTCTGCATCTGAGCCACCGCTCCAGGGAGAGCCAGAGCCTGGAGAGCGAGAGCAGCCCAACCCCAAATCCCAGCTTTTCCTGCTCTAGAGGATCGGGATCAGCCCATCCCAACCCCAATGCTCCCATGTTTCTCAGGGGATTGGGATCAGCACATCCCACCCCATCCCATCCCCGACATTCCCATGTTCCTCAGAGGATTGGCATCAGCCCATCCCACCTTTCCTCCTTCTGTCCCCAGCTCTCACCGTTGTGGAGCACCCCGGGGGTGGTGACAATGCCGGGGGTGGTGACAACCCTGGGGGTGGTGACAACCCTGGGGGTGGTGACAGTGATGCTCTCACTTTTGATGGAGTTCGGTGCCCTGCAGTTCAGTTGCTTCAGCTTAGCCAGGGCGGAGGAGGAGAACGGGCCGCACTCGCAGGACTCGGGTGAGCAGTTCTGGGGTTCGCAGGTCAATGTGGGCTCTGCCAGCTCCTCTGCGGGCACAGGGGTGTCACAAACCTCTCTTTCAGTGTAAACACCCCCCCCCAAAACAGCACTAAAAGCACCTACTGGATTTCTGGAGTTCGAAGGTGTATTCTTTTCCATCATTATGCATAAAGCAGGGCCCACCATCCACTGTCATCAGCATGCACACGCAGAGCTTGTTGCTGGCCTTGTAGACATTAACACAGCTTTGAAATTTGGGTTTATAATAATAGCATTCATCATATTCCACAACCACTAAGTTCTCTGTGATATTACGATAGCAGTGTGTTGCATTTCCTTTAGCGTTTTTGATGCAGAGGCACATTAACTCGTCGAATGAATTTGTCACGTCCGTGGTGTCACTGGCAGGGAAGAGAAAGTGGGGAGAGAATTTGGGATGAAGGCAGGGTGCAGGTCAGTTGAAGAGGGGATGAAGGTGGGTTGGAGGTAGGATCAAGGTGGGATGAAGCTGGGGTGAAGGAGTGCTGAGTATAGGCTGGAGGTGGGATGAAGGTAGGCTGAAATTGGGATGAAAAGGTGGGATGGAGTTGGGATAGAGTTGGGAGCAAGCTGGGATCAAGGTGGGATGAAGGCAGGCTGAAGATGGGACCAAGCTGGGATCAAGGTGGGATGAAGTGGCTGAATCCAGAGAATGAAGCCCATCAGGCCTGGGGGTGTTTGAGGGCTCATGGAAGGGTCCCTGGGAGAAGGAAGAGCACGAGGCCACCCCCAGGCCGAGCCCCCTGAGCCTCGTGCCAAGGATGGAGCCCAGAGGGGACCTGAGAGGGAAAGGGGAACGAGGATTTGGGGATGGGAGGGTCAGGAAGGGTCACTGAGCAGGACAGGGAGCTCCTGGTCAGACCTGCAGCTGCCCCTTGGAGGAGAATTTGGGAATCGTGGAAAGGTTTGGGTTGGGAGGGACCCAAAACTGCTCTCATTCCACTCCCCTAAAATCCCCAAACCTTCCCCCAGCCTGGCCCTGGACACTGCCAGGGGTGCGTGGAGCAGCTGCACCACGGCTTCTCCACAGGGAAGGGAACCTTGAAACTCTGGACTCACTACAAAAGAGGGGATGGAGAGGGGTTGGCTGCAGGTTTTGGGGGATTCTCCTCAGTTCTCTCACCTCTCACTGGCTGGAGCTGCCATGATGGGCTCGCCTCTTACGGTGCTCGTCTCGTACATGCCTGGAAGTGACGAGATCCACGCTCACTTTCAGAATTTTAATGGTTTGAGAAACTTTGACAAAACACAGCAAAGGACTGAACAACGGAAAAGCGCAGTCACGGGAATGAAGGAATTTGTGTGCCCAGCCAATTTTCTTGTGGCATGTCAGACCCCTAGCCAAAACTTATTCTTACTTATGTTACTCATATATGCATATTCTTACTCAGTGGTGCAGGATACTTTTTTTACTGTTTATTTTTCAAGATCAGGTGATATTACATCACGCCATGCCCTCCACAGGAGCTGGCTCTATGTCCCTGGCAAGCCAAGCTGAGCAGGGGCCTATGGGGATGTTATAGATACATATTATAATATAATATTGGCTTTTTGCAAATGTTAAAATGGGTTCTATATGTGTGATGTTAATGTAACTTTGTTATAAAGATGTAGTTTTTATTTCTGTTGTTAATTAAGCTCAGTGAAACAGATGATTTTAGGATGCTTGTGTTAAACTGCCTGCTTGGATGGGATAACAGCCAGTCCACACAGGATGAGGACACCTGTACAGACCTGCCAACCATCAGCACTCACCTGAAGGCAGTGCAGGCCAGGGCCCAAAAACTGGAGGGGATAAGGATGGTTTCAAACCACAACCACGAAAATGCGTGCTTTAAAAAGGGAGACCCAAAGAGAGACCACATAAAATAGTTCCTGGAAAATGTAAACTAGTTCATGGATATGCACAAGGGTGTATGGATATGCAACAGACTGATGTAATTAAAAGGTATTTAAGGGGTATCCCTGAAGATAACAGCGTGCTCTCGGCTGAGTGGCCATAATAACCTTTGCTCTATGGACCTTGTCACCTATTGCCCCTTACTAAACTTCTTCAATCCTCCCTCAAGTGAGAGAAAGGAATAAAATACAGGCAGTGCAGAGGAACCACATAAAACACCAAGCTCAGCGAAGAAGAATCAAGGCAGAGATAAGGAGATACCTTTAGTTTTGGGCTGAAATCCTCTTGTAAGCTATGGAGAAAGGCTCTTTTTCCCCTGCAACGCGTGAAGGAATAGGGAGGCAAAAGCGCTCAAATTGCAGATATCGAGCAGAAGCCTCCATGCCAAAGCAAGCAGATGTTAAAGCAGCTGTGATCCCATGAGAAGCTTGAGCAGAGAAGGAGAGAAGAGTGATGAAGATCCAGTGCCCCTGGGAAGATCATTTCAGAGACAGATAATGAAAACCTTTGCCTTTGAACAGCTCATCTGTCAGACAGTACCCCAGAAGCTGACATGGCCCATAAACACAGCAGTGGGAAAAACTTACAGAAAATGAGAGGGCTTGCACAATTTTGGATTTCCCTGGGTGGCTGCTATTCGTGGAGAGAGCCACGAGCAAACCAATTTTTGTGGAGAAGTCTCCAAAAAATTAACAAGAGGGACTTCTCTCCCTAAGTGAAATGAAGAAAGGCTATTCTAGAGGTAGTAAACAAACTTAAAATTTCTAAGTTTTGCCTCTTTACAATCTCAGTGGGAAAGAAAAAGTGGTAGAGAGGGAGGTTGGAGAGGGGAAGTGTTATAAAAGTTTTGTTCTGATTCTTATTACTGTTTCTTTTAGTTACTGCTGATAAATTTTTCTTTATACCCTTCTAAACTTTTGAACCTGCTTTACCTTTCTCCTAATCCTACATCACAACAAAAAACAAGTAAGTACTTTCCAATGAGTGCACTAGTGATTGACCAACATTAACTCACCACAGTAACGGGTTCATTAGCAGAGAAATCTGAAATTAGCAAATTAAAACCACTGCAACAACATCTGGAGCAGAGATGGAGCTCATCTCTCCTCTTTAGAGAGTTCCCATGGCCTGGGGAGAGGCCAGGGCATCTTTCCCCTTGGCTGCCCCATCCTGCACCCCTGTGGAGCTGACCCCACTCATCCCCACCCTCCTGGGGGTCCCCAAAACCACCCCAAACCCCCCATGGGCTCCTTGCCAATGGACAAGGAGTGCCTGGCACATGCAAGGGGGCACGAGGACAGAGCCTGGAGGGGAAAGTGGAAAGGAGAAAGTTGGACAGGGCTTGGAAAGGTTCGCTCTGAGCACCAAACTCTGAGCTCAGGGACCTGAGCAGCACAGGGAGCTCCTGGAGCTGCTCCTTGGAGGAGAGTCGTGGAATTCTGGAGAGGTTTGGGTCGGGAGAGAACTTCAAATTATCCCGTTCCACCTCCCAGAACCTTCCAGCGTCCCAGGAGGCTCCATCCTGGCCTTGGTCACTCCAGGGATGGCAAATCCATGGAATAACCTCTGCCAGGAGCTCCCGGGCAGCAGCTGCCCAGAGATGGACCCCAGAGGCGCACACAGAGATGGGAACCAGCCCTCTACCAGCAGGTTTCCATGCCAGCCCTGGATCCCAACACTGGGCACAAATCCACCCCATGGAGCTGCTCTGGTGCTCCCACACAGCCCTCGACCCCAAAAACCCAAAAACCACCCCAAGATCTCCTTCCCAGGGAACAAGGAGCACGCTGCACTCACTGGTTTGGTGGAGGACGATGAGCATGGTGAGATGAAGGATCCAAAATATGTCCATGGATGTCCAGAAACAGAGAGGATTTGGGGCGCCAGCACCCAAAAATGAGCACCACAAAGAGGAAGAGCACCTGGGTGGTTTTCCAGTGCCTGGGTGGAGGGGAGGTGGCTTTAGACGTGGTGTGTTACAAAAATGGAGCGTCAAGGAGGAGCAATTTACACTCAAACGTAAATTTGAAGTTTGAAATTAAAAAAAACCCACTCTGTTTTCAAGGGAAAAGGAGGAAACTCGAGGTGTTTAAAACAGAGCCCAACCCCGTTCCCAAGGAAAGATGAGGGTGGCTGCTGGGACAGAGAGTGTCACCGTGGCTGTGTGTGACAAATGGCTCAGGTGCTCCATGGGGACCAGCCTGGAGAGCATTATCCCAGAGAATGTCATGGTGCCCATGGAATTGGTGCCCATGAAATTGGGTCTCCAGGACATCCCTGGGGAGGGAGGCTGAGCCCAAATCATGGAATGGTTTGGGTGGGAAGGGGCCTTAAAGCTCATCCTGTGGGCAGGGACAGCTGCCACCAGCCCAGGCTGCTCCAAGCCCTGTCCAGCCTGGCCTTGGGCACTCCCAGGGATGGGGAATGCATGGAATCACCTGGGCCAGGCAAGGATTGATCCCTAAAATCCCATCTAAAGCAGGGAATCCTGGAATGGTTTGGGATGGAAAGGAACCTGAAACACCAAAAAATCCCACCCAGTTCCATGGGGAGGGTCCTTCCCCTATCCCAGGTGGTTCCAGCCTGGCCTTGGACACTCCCAGGGAGGGAAATCCATCGAATAACCTGGGCCAGGCCCTCATAGGGAACAATTCCACCCCAAATCCAACCCAAATTCCCCCCCTGACCCCACTCCCCCTCATCTGGGCACTCATCCCTTGGGAAAATTCTCCCTCCATTTTTCCTGAAGCCCCTTCAGGTCCTGCCAGGCCACAGCGAGGTCCCCCCACAACTTCTCCTCTCTGCTCCCAGATCTCCCCGCCCGGGGGTCGCTGCTGCGGCAATTCGGGAATTGCAGGAAAAGCCGAGGCGGCGAGAGGGGGATGGAGAGAGGCTGGCTGCGGGTTTTGGGGGTTTCTCATCTCGCGACGGCCGGAGCCGCCTTGGTGGTCCTGCCTCTTATGCTACTCTCCGTACGAGGTCCACAAACCTTCCAAAATTAGAAAGGTTTGGTAAACCGACAAAATACAGCAAAGGACTGAAATAAGGGAAATGGACGAGTCGCATCCGCCTCCCCGGTCCCCGCCCGGACCCCAGCCCCGGCCCCGGCGGTCAATCTGGCTGGTCCGCGGCGTGGCCCGCGGCCATGCCTGAGGTCCTTCCTTTCCGCACGCTCTATGAACCGCGCCGACCGCGCCAGGGCTCCCCTCGGTGCCCCCCGCCTCAGCGCGACCGCTCCCCCATACCTGCCTGCGCCAGAAACGGGGACGCTGAGCGCCGGAAAAGTGGACGCTGGGCGCCGGGCACCAGGCGTGGCACGCTGTCTCCCCTGATAGGCCCCCATGCCGCGGCTCCGCACTACCCGCCTACGTCCCGCCCTTGGAGGGCCGAAACTCGGCGCGATCCTGTCCCCTCAGCGCTATAGCCCCTCCTCAGCCCCGTCCCGCCCCGAGCTCCGTTCCCTACTAACCACATCGGTGCTCAGGTTAACGCTTTAAAGCTTAGTTCTAAAGGCAGCCCTCTCCAAATTCTTTCTCAAAACACGGGAGAAAGGCTATTGAAAATAATAAAGAAAAAGATGAGGGATTGGTCTATTTTCCCTAAGAGAGCCGGTGCGGCCGCAGCCGTGCCGGGAACGGGGACTGACCGGGGCGGGCGGGCGGGCTGGCAGGAGGGGGAGAGCGACCCTGGGCAATGCCAGAGCGGCCCGGTTAGCGGGGATGACCCCGGGCGGTGGCGGGAGACCGGAGGAGCGGCGTGGGGCTGCTGCGGGAGGGGTCATGGCGAGCGGTGGCCGAGCGATGGGCGAGGCTGGGCCGCGGCGTGCAGCTCGCAAGCTGGGCTGGCGTGGCTGCCGGGCCCGGCGGGGAGGAGCGGCACTGCCCGAGCGCCGGTGCCGGGAAACCGAACTGGAGCGGCGGCAGCACGGGGTGGATTGGGGAGCTGGGGCGCCCCGTGTCCCGGCCACAGGTCCCCAACCAGAACTGCGCTGGAACGCCGCCAGAGAAGCAGGGAGGAAGGGATGGCACGGTTCAGGTACGGTAACTTACACAAAGAGCTCTGCCGCCGAGACAGACGTTCTGGGCAGAGCGGCAGAGACGGCGAAGACGCAGCAGCGGCGGACGCAGATCTGGCATCGCCGGCGCTGAGTCATGTTGGAGGGGCGAACCGGGAGGTTTGAGAAAAGTGCAGGCGCCCGACCTTACCGGAGCTGCCCCGTAATGGCGGCTATGGCTGAGAACTAGAGTTCGTTGCTGCCATTGCGGACATAATCTCCCGGCGAGGGTGACGCTGCTCGTAGGGGCGGGAGCGAGGATGGGCCGCGGTGTTGGCGGAACCGGGGCTGGAACCGCAGTAGCCGGGGCAGCACGGACTAACGGGAGGGCGGGAGCGGCCCTGGGGTGCAGTGGGGCGGCCGAAACCGGGGGAACGGGTGCCGGGACCGTGAGGGCGGCAGGCGGGGCGGCAGGGGGTGAGCGAGACCGCGGTGCCACATTTGTCTTCACAGAGAAAAGCAAGGCGCCGTTCTTCCTGTGAAAAATACATGTATTTTATGATTGGCTTTTGGCAAATATTAAGTGAATGTTATATGTGTTGTGTTAGAAAGTAATGCTGTATTAATTCTCTTTAGTGGTGTGTTAAATATAGTTTTAGGTTATAAAAAAATGTTAAAATAGAAATGATGCTACACAGGATACTTTTTTAAAGACAGGACTCGCAGCAAGATAGCAGCCACAGGACACCTGAATCTTTCAGAGACAAAGAATTTATTGCCCTCTTATCAGAAGAAACTAAATTCTTCCCACCTCAAAAGTGCTGTTAGGATTCGGAGGAAGACGTTGACGATGACCAAACAGAATCCTGTGTTTGAATGGAATTTATGCATCATGTATGAAGTTATGAATATGCAACAGGTTATTGTTTTTAAGGGTTAATCCTCAGAAAAAGGTACCCGGACATCCGTAACTCTTTGTATTTGTTGCCTCATATTCTTAATTCAAATTGTCCAAATTATTATTACTCTAATTGTATTACTCTTTTTATAACCATTTTATTACTATTAAACTTTTAAAATTTAAAAAAAAGTGGCATTTTTCACAGTCAGCATTTGGGAAATTAATCAAAGTCCATTCTAAGAGGTGTTTTAGCTCCTGTTCTGGTAATTTACTTGGACTGGAACTTAACAAATGCTTGAGTTGCTTATAGAGATCTGTGTCATGGGCAGAGTGAGTTTGTCCCATTATTAGAGCAGTGTGTTAAGAATCTTGATGTTGCAGAAGCAGCTCCTCAATCAGAGCAATCAGGGGCTGGCCAGGCTCTCCAGTCGGGGCTCAGGACGCTGCGTTTGGGTCCTTCCTCAGAGCTCTGGTTTTAGGCCGTGCTTGGCAAGGCCTTTTCCTGCTCAGGATCTCGCAGGTGGGTCTGCAGAGTTTGGGTCCCTCCTCAGAGCTCTGGTTTTAGGCCGGGCTTGGCAAGGCCTTTCTGTGCTTGGGACCTGGCAGATGGGTCTGCACTCAGAGTTTGGGTCCCTCATCAGAGCTCTGGTTTTAGGCCGTGCTTGGCAAGGCCTTACAGGTGGGACTGCACTCAGAGTTTGGGTCCCTCAGAGCTCTGGTTTTAGGCCGTGCTTGGCAAGGCCTGTCGAAGGAAGGGAACCAGGACACCAGCTGGTTCATCACAGGTCCAGTTTATTGAAGAAAGCATCAAACACTTACACAGCAAATAATAAGCTTATGAATATTCTGTAAGCCAAGCAATCTATTGGTTAAACTATACCATTAACTCATCCTCATTCCTTTGGGCCTACGTTCTCCACTTCTCACGTCTCGCTGTCTATTTCTTTATCATACTCCACTAGGCCCAAGGACACGTTATCTTTGTAGGTGCAAGATTTAGAATTAGCCACGGCTTTGTACTTTTCCAGTCTCTAGTCAGCTAAAATCCCAACAAAGGCCTTTCCATGCTCAGGACCTGGCAGGTGGGATTGCACTCAGAGTTTGGGTCCTTCATCAGAGCTCTGGTTTTAGGCCATGCTTGGCAAGGCCTTTCCATGCTCGGGACCTGGCAGGTGGGATTGCACTCAGAGTTCAGGTCCTTCCTCAGAGCTCTGGTTTTAGGCAGAGCTTGGCAAGGCCTCGCAGGTGGGTCTGCGCTCAGAGTTTGGGTCCCTCAGAGCTCTGGTTTCAGGCCATGCTTGGCAAGGCCTCGCAGGTGGGTCTGCAGAGTTTGGGTCCCTCCTCAGAGCTCCTCAGTGCTTGGCAAGGCCTTTCTGTGCTCTGGACCTCACAGGTGGGTCTGCACTCAGAGTTCAGGTCCCTCCTCAGAGCTCTGGTTTTAGGCCGTGCTTGGCAAGGCCTTGCAGGTGGGTCTGCACTCAGAGTTTGGGTCCCTCAGAGCTCTGGTTTCAGGCCGTGCTTGGCAAGGCCTTGCAGGTGGGTCTGCACTCACAGCTCCAGAGCGGCTCCACTCTCTGGTGCTCAGCATCGCTCGGGGTGTGTGGCAGGATCCCTTCTCGAGAGCTCGAGGGATGCCACGGAAAAATTCCTCAAAGAGCTCCAGGGATGCCACGGCAAAATTCCTCAAAGAGCTCCAGGTAGCTGTGGCTGCCTGGTTTGGGAATGGCATGGCGACAATCCCCCTGCAAGCCTTGCTCTGGGTTTTAGCAGCTGACAAAATCTAAAGTCTATCTGCCATATCTCTGCGGCTTTGAGGCCTCTGGGGTTGATGCTGCTGGACCACAGTGTCGATTTTTGGCAGTGAGGACATGAGGCGGCAACATGCTTTGCATCAGCGGCCGAAATTCCGCACTTTCTCATGAGTGCTTTAGCGCTGATATGAAGGGTCTCATTAGTTGACGGGCATCTCTCAGGGTGCACAGCCCATCTGCCTTGTCATTGCCGATCTGAAAGAATCCCTTAACCGGATTGTGGCTGTTGACATGGATGATAGATATGGCGCCTTTTTGCAAACAAAGTACCTCTT